CGAGAAGCCATACTAAAATTCTTCTATATAAATAAAGCTTAGATCCGTTCATGGTCTATATAAAAGAGAAGTTAGTTATCCGGCATATATATAAATTTTTAGCCGGACATAGTCACAGCTTCCAGATTGGAGATATAAAAAGATTTAAAAATAAAAGAAGAAAATTAAATTACCTTATATCAACAAATTTATTTACTTCCGGCGAACCTCCGGCAAACCAAGAGCTTTACAAACTAAGAGAAACAAACAACTTAAAAAAAACTTAATGAAGAGAGAGTGCTTTTCGACGACCTCCTTCAAACTACAAAAGACCTTATTTATAGAAGAAAAAGGGATCTATCTACGGTGATCTACAGTGATTTACAGTGACCATGGGTCCCTTAACAATGGGTCCCAAATGTATAGTAACAGTTTTTCTACTGTGGTTTAACAGTGTATCTACTGTTAATCAATAGTGGTCATCTCGTCTTTCCTTTTCAATTCCCTAAGTAAACCTTCTGCTTTAGACAACATATCTTCTGTCACGGATTTCGCCGATTCACAAGGCTGGGCCTCTTGAGCATCATTTGCGTGCTTTAGACAACATATCTTCTGTCACGGGTTTCGCCGATTCACAAGGCTGGGCCTCTTGAGCATCATCTGCGATATCATCACTTGTTTCACTTCTCATTGAAGTGTCTGATTTTTCATAGTGAGTGATATTGAGGAGTAGATTCCTCCTAATTTCATCCAAATACTCCTTTATCATTTCTTCTTTATTTCCATCTTGAATGGAAATTCTTCTGGCAATATGTTTGACGGAGTTGTCAGCAATTATTCCTTTGTGAGGAATAGTACCATAATCTTGGATTTTTTGAGAAATAGAGTCCAATAATTCTTGGCCATATAATGATTTAGTCATGGGATCCTTCTTCATTAATTTATCCCAGAAATTATTATAATAAATCCGATATAAGCATGGAATTTGTTCTTCAGTAAAACCTACTTTCGGGTCCATTTATGGATCCATGGAATCGAGAATTCTATGAAGAAATAAATTTGTTCAATTTTTTCTATATAACAAACATGATCTGAGTGGTATAAATCATTAAGGTCCGGTGACACCTTAACCCAGTTTTTGTATAACTTTAAAAAGGGATCAGGTAAAATCTTTACCGTCGGTTCGTGGTATGACCACTAGTTCAAGAACCAGTTAGGAATTGGGTCAACAAATATCTTTGCACACACCTTGATAAACCAAGTATGTTTATGCCTTTCATTGTTATAGTAAAGGACTTTGCTGAAAGCGTTAATATAATCCCAATAAGTGAAATTGGTAGGGATTTTATTGAGGTTGATTTGCCTTTCTTTCATCGAGGGTATACCCCAATCTTCAATTGATATAATCTGCTTTATGATCATTTTGGAGAAGTTATAAACGTTCTCGCTGGTGTTATAACCTGAGAAGTGCTGAAATTCAACACTACCTGTATTCGTTAAAATGGTCTCGTAATACAAGAGAGTTTTGTATGACTCTCCTGGGAAGTATAATCCGTTAAGTAAATATCGCTGGAATATCTTCCAGGGTTCTTCTTTTCTCTGTATCTCAGAGTTCTCAATAAGAAATATCATTTCTTTTTTTACTACCATTTCATAGGATCTAATATCATCAACCCCTTTTTATCATTAGGAATATTAGATGAAGAGCTAGTTTTACCAGCAGCCAATTGAATGATTTTTTCACGAAGAGTATTATCGGTAACTTCTTTTAGAAGTTCTATCACATTATCTGCAGTGATAGTGAACATATTCATGTCTTCGAACTGAGATTGTAGCTTGTAGAATTCATCATGTTCGCAGTGACAACGATCACCATGACATTTTCAAGCATCATTCGAATCTTGTTGAACCTTACTAGATGACTCAGGTTGCTCATCCTCCGTTGCATAACTTGCTTCAGAATCATCATAATCTGATTCGGAACAAGAAGTATATAGAAAACTATAAATCTTCTCTTGAATATCATCATCCAGTTCTAGAGTCTTAAGCTTTTCTAGCTTACAATTTGGAGCTATATGCCCAAATTTTCCACATTTATAACACTTAATCTTGTCAAGATTTCGCCTTGACCTATTCCTGGTAATCTATGAGATTTACGATGAGCCCTACGCTCATCTCTTTCTTCTCTAGTCCTTCTTCTAGATCTTCTTTTCTTATGATGAGATCTATGAGATTCTGATTTAGAAGTTTCTCGGTTGGTGCTTTTTGAAGCATCTGATAAACCGAATTGAGTACAAAAATCTCCTAATTGAGACTTTTCTCTAAGCTTATCCATCTTAAGTTGTCTTGAGAGTTTTAACTCATTGCACAAATTTATGCCTTCTTGCGTACAAGCCCCAATAAGCTTTCCATAAGTAAAATCATTATAGGGAATAATTCCTTGTGGATTTCTAAGAGTCTTTTTTACTCTTTCTGCAAATAAAGAAGGTAAGCCATCAATAAATTTGGCTTTCCAGAATTCTAAACCATTTTCGGGAAGTTCCATTACCCGACTTAAATAAGTGTCATTATACCATCTAAACTCACCTAAATGTCTATAACTAAGACCATTTAGTAGAGATCTAATGGTTTCATATTGATTGGTAAATCTACCACTAAATTTATTGATGGCTTACCTTCTTTATTTGCAGAAAGAGTAAAGAAGACTCTATCCACAAGGAATTATTCCCTATAATGATTTTACTTATGGAAAGTTTATTGGGGCTTGTACGCAAGAAGGCAAAAATTTGTGCAATGAGTTAAAACTCTCAAGACAGCTTCTTAATGGGTTTGCTTAGTATATGGTGGGGGGTATGGGACTCCATGTGTACATTGCACAAGTGAGCTTGTGAAGGGGTTGTGAGGGTGGTTTACCTATGGTATGAAC